ATTTAACAATCGTTTGATAAATTAATTAATTGTATTAGTTATTTATATGCCCAAATTAATTAATTGGATTAATTAATTCACAGACTAGATTTAATTAAATGGATTAATTAAATTTTGGACCGAGTCAGGCCAAGCCCGTGTGGACTTATATAAATAACTTATTAGGATTTATAATTTGGGAGTGAATTCATTATTCTTGCTAGCACAAGAAGAAAGCCTCAATCCTGCAATCTTGTTTTCTGTGTGGATCACTGTTGGAGGCTGGATAATTGGACAGCTGTGGGTGACTGATCCATGTTGCTGGAACAAAGATATGACAAAAGAGTTTGCAAATCTTGTAAAAGGTACATCTTTATCACAATTTCTATCTAAACACAAAGACGATTCTTAGTGGGAATCAAAAATTGTTTTAATTTTTTGTTGTGCATGTTAAGTAGATCCCCAACATACCATACCACAGCACCCCAACCAACAAAATCCCCAAACCAGCCACCGCTATCTGCATATTCAATAAACCACAAATCAACCTCCAACACCTAGGGATGTCAATTGGGCCGAGCCAGCTAGGCTCGTGAAAAAGGGGCTCGAGCTCGTGAAATCACGAGCCCGTGCACGAGCCGAGCAGGCCTCGCCCGTAGGCGAGCCGCTCGTGGGTGGCTCGTTTGGATGAGCCACGAGCCGTTCAGTGACCGTTTTGGTCACTAAACTTTTGTTCAGTGACCAAAAGGTCACTAAACTTTTTTTTCTTTCTTTTTTTCCCCCCATTTTTTTTACTATAAATACCCCCTTCCCCCAGAATTTTTTTTCATATCAATCTCTTCTAAGATTACAACTCTCTCAACTCTCTTTTATTATATCAATTATCGAGTTTTTACTCTCTAGTGCTGCAAAATATACAATATCAATTCAATTTTTCCAGTTTATTAGTTACAATTTCAATTCATCCAATTCTCAATTCTCACAATCTCATTACATTTATATTCATCTAGTCAAGATTTCATCATAAACAATCACAGAAATGGATCAACGTTCATTTGTTGAAAGCTTGTTCGATACAGGATGTGAGCCATTGCCACATCATGGAGAATCACCTAGTACGCCGCAAAGTCAATTTCCAAATGAATTTGCCGGTTTAAATGACATACCGATACCTGAAGATATTCACATTCACGGTCAGGGAAGCCACATTCCAATTGATTTGGATGATATTAACGTTCCCGAAGCGGAACATGAAGATGAAGATCAGCAATTAAATATCCTAGATGTGAGGAGAAAGAGAAAGGCCAAAAAACAAGCAAAATGCTGGGCTCACTTTAAGTTGATTTCAACGGGAAAAGTCGTTGATGGCCTTGCAGAATCTAAAGTAGTATGTAAATACTGCCAACAAAGATTGACATGGCAAAAAGGAATTGGTACCACTCATCTCAACCGCCACTACAAATCATGTGCAGTTAGACATGGACTTCTTCCAGCTGGTCAAACACAATTACAATTTGGCAGTCTAGGCGTCGGTTCTACAACTTCACCCCTATCCACGTGGGTGTATTTGGAGGACGAGACTCGAATTGGAATGGTCAAATTTGTTGCCGCCACTGAGTTGCCTCTGGCTATTGCAGACAACCAACACTTCGTCTCGTTCGTGAAAGAATATCTACAACCGAGGTACGTTGGGGTAAGTCGAAATACTCTTCGTGCCGATACAATAAATTATTTCAATAATTCAAAACAACAATTAATTATGGATTTGCAACAATATGGGGGTGTTATATCCTTAACTTCTGATATATGGGAAGGGGTTAATAAAAGAGCATATATAGTTGCAACCGCACACTATATAGACCCACTTTGGTGCATGCATAATAAAATTATTTCTTTTAGAATTATTGAATTTCCTCACAATGCTAATAATATATATAATGCTATTGTCAGTATTGTTAGAGAATATCATTGTAAGAGTAAAATTCAATCTTTTACTTTTGATAATGCTAGCGTTAATAAGGTAGTCGTTGATAAATTGTGTAGGACACTTCAACCTGATTTTGGTGGGTATTTGTTTCATATTCATTGTGTGTGTCATATCTTGAATTTAATTGTGCAAGATGATTTAAAACATATAAAGGATGAACTTCAAAGGATTAGGAATGCATTAGTTTATATTACGATCTCTCCTAGTAGAAAACAAGAATTTGAAGATTTTTGTGCCGAACTAGAGGTGATGACTGCTAAAACATTTGATAGCGACGTATGTCATAGATGGAACTCTATATACTTGCTATTAAAATCATGTGAAGGTTTCAAAAATTTAATAACTGACTTTTATAATAATAGACATGTTAGAAGTGATGATGATGGTATGTTAAATGAATCCGATTGGATTTTAGCTTTGAAAGTTAAACGATTTTTGACATCTTTTTATGAGACCACAAGATTTTATCCGGCGTTTATTATCCCACAAGTTGTATGGTGCTTGAACGCCTTTATATAATTGCAAGAACATTCCATAAATATAAAAATGATCCTGTTTTTAGTGAAATTTTAATTGCTATGGAATTAAAGTTTAGAAAATATTGGGAAGAACTGCTTATATTATTTCCTTTAGCATGCGCAATGGACCCCCGATATAATATTTCGGGAACTAAATACATAATTGATCAAATCAATAAAGTTTTAATACTTGATACACCTATCGCCTATAAGAATTTAGAGCAAATATTATGTGGAATGTATGATTTATATGCGGAAAGAATGGGTGCAAATGTTAGTCGGGTACCCTCTGCTGCACCTACTCCTTCTGCTGAAATTGAAGAAGATGCTGCGGAAATAATGAATTTATTTCAGAGCATTGATACATTTAGATATGATGCAACTGCAATGTATTCATCTAGTGCCATGTCGTCTATATCTGCATCTCATCAAACATCGGCTGAAACTCAAAATGCGATGCCTACCGAATTAATTGATTATTTCAATCATAATATGCCAACAGACAAAAATTAAAAAAACTTCAGAAGAATTAATTGAATTCTGATGAAAGAATGAAAGACGTTGGCCAATTATTTCTGCAATTGCGAAAGATCTATTGACACCTCCGGTTAGCACTATTGCTTCGGAGTCTGCTTTTAGTGCAGGTAAAAGGGTTTTGACTAATGTCAGGAGCCGACTGAAAGAAGATGTTTTGGAAGCGTTAATGTGTGTGAAGGATTGGTAGGACGCTCATTTTCGATTACAAGATAAATACGCTGAAATTGCATGTCGTCAGGTAAGTGATATTTGATTTAATTATAGTAATCAAATTTTTTTATTTTTTAATCGTTAAATTTAATTTTCTTTAAAAAATTGTACACATTACAACAAGTTGTTCGTGTACAATTTTTAACTCCCCCTACTTAAAATTGATGTAGCCGGTCCCAAGTCCGGATAAAGGAGGAGGGTTTACATTTTATTAACTTTAAAAAGAAATCAAAAAATATATTTTTTATAAATGTATTTCAAAAAATAATTCGTTTTCATTATATAAATATTTTATACTTTATAAAAAATATTACAAATTACAATATGATATAAATAAAAAAAATAAAAATTTATTTTCGTTAAATTATTTGTATTTTTTAACACTTTTTATTTTTAAAACTCTATTCTTTATTAACTTTAAAAAGAAATCAAAAAAAATATTTTTCGTAAATGTATTTCAAAAAATAATTCGTTTTCATTAGATAAACATTTTATACCTTATAAAAAGTATTACAAATTACAATATGATATAAATAAAAAAAATAAAAATTTATTTTCGTTAAATTATTTGTATTTTTTAACACTTTTTATTTTTAAAACTCTATTCTTTATTTTATAAAAAAAAAAATAGGCGAGCCCACGAGCCGAATCTCGGCTCGGCCCACGAGCTCGTGGGCCAAGCCGAGCCGAGCTCGCCCAATTTCAACGAGCCGAGCCCGAGCTCGGCTCGCCATGAGCACGAGCCAAGCTCGTGGCATTAAGCAGCTCGGCCCATTGCCAACCCTACCAACACTGGCCACCACAAAATCAGAAAAAGAAAAGAGAAACGAGAAAACCTGATTTTGCTCAGTCACGACTGGAGGAACTGATCGTCGCTACAGGCGACGATTGGCCCATCGACTCTGCCACCTTATTATACTAGCGGTACTTGGAGAAGTAGATTGCTGCTTTGGAGAATGTGAGCATTACCGATACCATCATCTATGCATGCGACCGTCATCCTATCAAGTTTGACGTCGGATTGTTGTGTTGTGCGTGTGTGAGAGTGAGTGAGAGACGATGGTGGTTGGTTGGGTCTGTTGAATTGGGAGGATTCTTAGGGTTTGGGTAGGTGTAGTTGTTAGTTGGGGGATAGATATATAATTACATATGTTTTTCAAAATTAAAAATAATTATAACATTTCAAAAATAATAATCATAACATTATTTTTGTGTAAATAAATTTTAGATTTGATTTTTGAAGTTGAATCTTCAAAAATCTGGTGGGTGGATTTTTTTTATATTTTTTTTTACTTATTTTATCGATGGCATGAGGTTCGTGGATGTTTCTCTTAGAAATTTACCATGTTATATATATTGTTCATCTTTATTTAATTTGGCAATACATTATATCTTGTAGAACACAAATATGTTAAGTTGTTCCATCAGAACTGTGTGTAAAACTGTCTGTAAGAAGTCCTGATTGACTGGCGTATTTCGGATAAAAGGTATAATTGAGACAAATTGATTAATTAACTAGGTTTCAGTACTTACAAAATTGAAGATGAAGAATAAATAAATAAAATTATATTCATAAGTGTCTAGTTCCATTCAATATTGCATTCAAGCACATGAATAAAAATTCAAGAACGATCACAAGAAAAGCATAAACAAAAATCTAATTATCTATCTAAACTTATTTTGATTAAACGAATAAAAACAATTGATCCCCAAAAATATATGTCTACAGAAAATACATAAAATTTCTGGATCAATTTTCTGTAGTACATTCATTCATCCAAACGCTGTTTCTGGAAAGGAATCTGACTTTCTACTTTGTGTTGATCACCAAGAACCTGGAAATTCTGGCGAATGTAAAGGGTGAAATCTGAGTAAGTCTCCAGTAACGCGGGCTGGTTTAAGTTGAAGTCGACTGTAATGGTGCGCCCATTGCTGTTGCATTGGCTGAAGGCGCCGCCCCTGGATGTGATCCCACTGGTTTTCTTGCCGCCCTTTATCTCGCCTTCATAGTGCCTCCGCATGTGGCCACCCAAAGCTTGGCCAGTGGTAAAAGTCTGGTTACAGACGTGGCATTTGTGAATCCTACCGCTTGGGTTGAGATAAGAGATATTAGAGGTGCTGGTGCAGTGGTGGCGAACTGAGACCGATCACGGTGGCTGGTTTTGTGGCCGCCGAGTGCTTGGTACGACGAAAAGGACTTGCCGCACACACTACAAATGTACGGCATATTCTGGTCCGGCGGAGAAGAGACAATAACAGGAGAAAGGGTTCCATTGATTTCTTGTCATCATCGGAGGAGGCTAAAGCGGCTGTTCTTTCACTAGTGGTAGTGACTGCGGTGGTGGCGAGATTTAGTACATCTTTTATGAGTTCAACGACGGCGGCAGCACTGGTGGCTGGAATAGTGTGCCAACTCCGATTGTCCTGAGATAGCATCAAGAGGGCAAGTGCTGCTTCTTCTTCAATCTCCGTTGGTTCGTGGTTTCTTTTCTTGCTAGATTGAGAACAAAGAGTGTCAAACTCGTTGGTTTGAAGGCCCGCCATGGCTGAATTTATGGCTTCACTGTGTGTATTCTGTGTACGAGTGTGGAATTTATGGACTGAGTAAGAGAGAGAGAGAATTAGAGTGACGGATTCTGGAGTTAGTGTTTAGGGTTTATGTGGAAAGGCGTGGGATTTTATAATTAGAGTAGACTACTAAGGAATTAATTGATGCCATTAAGTGACTTTTTACAATTTAATAAGAACAATCCTAAGTTGATCAGAATCCTAGTAAAATCGAATCATGTTCCTATTTACAAGCTTTCTTGGACACATGTTACATGTTAACTACTGCTCTTATTAGGGACCTTAACAAATCTTTTCTTTGCAACAGAATCTATTGCTCGAACCGGAAATTTAGGCCCCTTATCACTCTGGTAAATTTTCGAGGACGTTCTTACATGTATATCAAGATATAATGGATTACATACTTTATCATTGGACATTTTAAAATACAGTGAATTTTTAACTACACATCATTTTTTGGCACACTTTCTGAATTTCCTTATCTTGACAAATACCATAATCCAATTTTCAATTGCAATTTTTTTTTTTTTACATATGTAAATAAGTTAAAAAATATTGCATAGGGTATGTTAACGTCAATATTCGCCGCATCATAATAGCTCTTGATTGGTATAGGTTAAAATCTTATTTTAATTTCAACTTAAAATCAACAATTAATTTTAACTGCACATTTCATAAAATCCATAACTTTTTCATCAAATATTTTATAAACTTTTAAAGTCTGATTTTAATCCACAAGAAATGGGGGCTAGATATATAAAATGATTAAATGAATAGATTGGATGAATACATTTAGCCCATTTATGGTGCCATTTTTTATGACTCATGTTTTTTAAACTCATTTTTAACCACATATTTCATGAGATCCTCAACATTATCAACTTTTTCATCATAACATTAACTTTTACTAGAATGCCGTAGCTAACCTGACCATTGAAAGAACTTGTGATTTTTAGCAAAACTAATCGGGGCTTAAAATGCCCTCTTCGTTGCATGGCTGAAAATACGTTCACATTTATGCAATGCTTCTATTTAGTTGTATTAGTTTTCTAATATTTGGAAATATTATTGATATAGAATGTAGTGTAAAATACGAACAGTAAAATCAAAAATAATATTAAGATCGAGTAAATTACCTAATAGATCTCAATTACACATTGCAAATGGAGAAAACTATATTTTGATACGTTTGAGTTGTATGTCGAAAAACAATAAGCATGTTCGACGATCCCAAGTTTGTTTGTTGTTACAAGATGATAAAGATTTATGGAGTTACTCTAGTTTTTGTAAAGTACTCAACACTTTAGTATTTATTTTTCCTTGTCCATGCTACGAATATAGTTATGAGTGAAAATAATTATTGTTCAAATGATCGAGACGATCGTTGATAGTCTATTTTCTACTAATTTTTTTCTCTCATTAATTTGCTAAAAAAACTCACATATTTATCTAATAATTCATACACATATATGAAAACAAGCAAAAATCAGGCAACATAGGATTAACAATTTCAACCGAAACTCAAACTAAAGAAAGAAGTGTAGATTACTTCAGTGTGCTTAGTGGAGATATTCTGCCAAGTTTTGCCTCCAGAAACACGTTTTTGCCCTTCCTTGCACACTGCAGATTCGGTTTTAATATATATAAGAATTTTGGTGTGGGAGAATTGTAGGAGGAGGAATGCAAAAACGCTGCTTTGGCTCTTCTTGCACAGCATTATACTTCTGTAGAATAGAGTAATTTCGAGAACTTGGTAGAAAAACTCAACACGTGCACATACGTAAGTGGCATTTGTTTCAAGCCAACAATTGTGCTAGTTTGCAAAATATTCATACCATATGTTGATTTCTGATTAATCTTTAATCTTATGATGTTCCAGAGTGCAATTACTCCGTCTCTTTTTTTGTTTCGTCTAGATAATTTCACAGGGAAACAGCTCATGTAACAGAGCTGGTCCTGAGACACCCAGGTCGAACAAAGAAACAAGAGCCAACCTCCACCTCGACAGTCAGCGCTTCTAAATCTGGAAAGCGTGGTGAAAAGAAGCGATAGTTTCAATCACAAACATGTCATGTCTATTTCTTTTAACTATTGAGGAGAGGCATATGAAGGAAGATTCCACTAATCAAGCTAAGGAGCAAAAATCAGCCACCACAAATCAAGCCAAGAATCAAAACCAGCAAGATAGCCAATAATCATACCTATAACAGTCAATCAATTTTTTGTAAATGTTATTTTGGTATAACCATGAAATTAGCCTGCTACTTTTATATATGCAAAATGTTGGCTAATTTCCTATAATAGAGATTGGAGATTTTGTATTTAAACGTACTCAAGTCATTGTAAAAAGTAGGTTGTAAAGTCTGTCATTTTTACAGAGAAATAAAACACTGCTCTAATTTTCATCAGTTGCGAATTTCCATCATGGTATCAGAGCTGCCATTCTCTCACGAGAGTTTGATCCCCATTTTATCTAACTCCACTCAAAATCCTTCATCCCCAACTGATATCCCCTTGATTGCTCTCAACGTTTCAGCAAAAATCAATAACAAACTTACTCCCTCAACGTTCCCACAGTGGCGTGCCCAATTTGAAGCTTTTCTAATTGGGTATGACCTCCTCAACTACGTCACTGGAGAAAAACCTTGCCCCCATCAAACTGACCAACCCTCATCCTCCCTTCAAAAAACGCACTGGGTAAGGCAGGATAAACTAATCCTAAGTACTATCCTAGCATCCACTGTGACGACCATCACCCCTCTCATTTTGTTTGCCAAAACTTCTCAGAAAGCGTGCAAAAATTAAACACCCTATATGCTAGCAAATCTCGAACCAGGGCAATGCAACTCAAAGAGGAAATAACACTAATGAAATGGGGCAATCAAACCATCCAGGAATACCTGCATATAGTGAAGTCTATTGCTGATGAAATAGCACTCATTGATCATCCAATTTCAGATGATGATCTCACTTTATACATTCTCAATGGTCTCGGCTCTGATTATCGGCACCCATTAGAGCTCGGGAAAAATCCCTCACCTTTGAGGAACTACATGATTTGCTCATAGGCCATGAGACATACCTGCGTCGTCTTGAAGTCTCAACACAACAGCTACTAGCCACGGCCAACTACACGAATCGGCGTCCAGGTTCTTCCTCTTCATCTGGAAGCAACGACAACTCCTCTTGGGTCCAAATAAGCAACATATCTTTAAAGGGTCCGTGGCCCAATCACGCCCAGATAGTTGGCCACGTGATAACAGGAAGCAAAATAACTTGGGCCGGTACAACGGCCAACGATGCTTCCAGCCTAAATGTCAACTTTGTGACCAATTGGGTCACATTGCAAAGCAGTGTCCGCGAGTGACTTTTCCCGAAGCTACTGCAAATTGTGTTTCCACCTCTCAACAGCAGAAAACTAAGTGGCTCATTGATTCTGCTGCTTCACATAATATTATGGGTGATTTGGCAAACCTCTCAATGCACTCGAAATATGGTGGGACAGATGAAGTTGTAATAGGCGATGGTTCAGGTTTGTGTGTATCACACATTGGTTCTTTGGTATTTCAATCACCAACACGTACCTTTCATTTAAATGATACACTTTGTGTTCCAAGTATCCGCAAAAATTTGATTTCCGTTCATCACTTTACTACTCAAAATAATGTTTTTCCTTGAATTACACCCTGTTCGTGTGATACCCGCAAGTGTACGGGATCGTTGATAAGTAATAATAAGTTAGTTAAGAGTTATCGTCCCATAGAGAATAAATTTAATTCAAGTTTACTAGTTTCGTATGGAATTCTAGTTATGAAAACAAAATAAATATTTTGATTTGATTTAAACTAAACTAATCTAAGAAAACAATAAAAATTGGGGTTTTATCAAATTATGGAGGATTGTATTGAATTTTGACTCCACCCATTGCTATTTATTTCAATTCTTGATTCGTAATCTAATTTCTTTCACGAGTTCTTGACAATCGATAATACTAATATGTTAAATGTTCTTTTCCAAGATACACCAACCTATGATTAACACGACCCGATCCTATTCCTAGTCCGAATTCATATGAAAATCATGCATTTAGTTTAAGTTATCAATATGATTGCATGTATGATAGATATTATTCCTAATCCTAACTATACATGTTAATTTTGCCATGTTCTAGACTCGTTGTGAGTATTCCTACACTACAACAAGCAACTAACTATTCAATTGATGGTCAAACAATTCAATAGTGCAATGGGAATGCAAAATTAATCAAGTAACACACGAATTAAGCTAAATACTTATTTTGAATTAAAATAAATAAATATTAGGGTTCATCTCATCCAATACAATGAAAAACTAGCCTATCATATTAATATATAATTTACAAGAAGAATAATAGAAACATATCACCCGAATCATGAAAAAATACAAAAGATGTTGATCTTTACGTCCAAAGTTGAATTCTTCAAAATTTGATGTAATTAAACTTCAATTCCTTGTTATGGCTTGATCTTCTCTCTCAAAATATAGCAATTAGCCCCTTGTTTTTGATGGATTTGATGAAACTATTGTGTATGAAGAGGTAAGAGAGAGACCCTTTCATTGCTGTCCATCTTGTATTTATATGATGAAACTAGGTCAAAATTCACGTCCAAATTGTCTTCTAAAAGAGTTTGAATCAAATAAGGAAAGTTGCCTTCGCGCGCACATAATTTTGTCTTTGCACAGTTTTCAGTATTTTGATCATAACTTTCTCTTTCAATGTTCGATTCAGGTGATTCAATGTGCATTGGAAAGCTAATTAAAATATCTACAATTCTTCTAGAAATACAATTTTTCCAATTCAAACATTATCCATCCGAAAAATGGGTCTCAATTTGACCAAAAATCTTGAAAATATCCTATATCATTGGAAGTCAATTTATGTTAATATTCTAATTATATCCCTTTCCTTTTTGACTTAAATTTGCATTTAATTGACT